ACACCACAGAAACCAAGCTTGGGCTACCTGTGGTATATTGAGAGAAAGCTACGACAAGCTGTATATCAGAATGGTAATTCAAATTTCGTTTTTTTTTTTGGCCTACAGTGCTGCGTCTTAAAAACAACGCTTTGTTCTTGATTCTAACTTTTGTGTGACATAACAAATATTTCTAGTGCAGCGAAAAAAAGATTTTTTTCAATAAATTTCAGGTTTCAAAAGTCACGTGTACGTTTATGTAGTTACATAAGCACTAGATTAGAAGCTATTGTGGCAAGCCAATGGATAGTGACGGATAATATTCAAATCTGATTCCAAAGTAGTGATTAATACTAGTGTACTTTGTCGGTAGGCACGGCATAGCAATTTCCCTAAAATAATGAAATATCAGTTAACTGCAACTACTAATATTAAGTTATTTGTCAGTTAACTACTAAACCCATTGGCACCCTCATTCTTGGGCCAACACAGTCATATTCTACAGTTCCAAAACAGTCAAAAGTATGAAAACATCTGAAAGTGCTTTACAACTTTATTATTAATAATAAATTAAGAATTAATCACGTGGGCTGGTCACATGATCGTATGATTTTTAGTTCATACATATAAATAATTTCAGCGACCAAAGTAAATGATTTGACATCATATAAACAGACTGAGAATACAATAAGCGCAGCTTGAAACATTCTCAAAGGCACTCGGTATACGTACGTATACACAAAAGTCCTTGCTTGTATGTTTGTCTGATACAAACGTACGTTGCTATGACAACCATAGCACGCAAAGACGTTACATGAAATTTTGGCGTAAAAAAATCAGGTATTTGATTTTAAAAATGAATAAATAAAATGAATAAAAATAAGCGAGAAACTAAATATTTAGTGAAACTCCAAATCTTAGCATTGAATTTATAAAAAAAATGTTTTTTGAGCATGAAGTTTGTGTGTTAGAGAATATCGYCTAACTCTAGCTTGTTGTTATGTAACTTAATTTTTTTCGTACTAAACTGAGATGAATAAAGTGCTTTGAATCATTCGAGGTTTAGCGGTGAATGTTATTCACGCTAAAAGGTGTAAAAATACTGATTCTCCTAAATGAATTTCGTGAACCGATAACCATGATTTATACGGCCAAAATCAGAGGTAGACGAAAAAATCTCCTCGCAACCGTTCTTAGTGTTGTCAAGCAAAGCCTCTTCCCCGACGACATTAAAAATGGCTGCAGAGACTAGAAACTTTGGGCCCCATTTCAGACCACGTGTCATTCCCTAGAGTATTGACAAAAAGTAAAAAGTAAGGTAAAAAGGTTTATAAGAGAAAATTTCGTAAAACTGTGAAAGATTCAAGATAAGGATTTGCAGTGCATTTACAAGCACGTTGATTGGATGGATACTTATCTCGCGCGCTGTGATTGGTCGAAAGGGTTCCGCGCCGTAACCGTGCCGCACGTCACGTCACGTTGTTTCACAGTGATACGAAATGTAGTCTATTGTTACTGAATTCAAAATTTATCGGTTCAGGCTGATCATCAGGGTCAATAACCACTAATATGTCTATACAAATATACCTAGCATTGATATCTTATGGTTGAAAGAAGTAGAGTGGTTTCACGACGGAAATCCATTTCTTCGCAAACGCAACACTTTGTCTGTTTCTGGGTGATGCGTAGCAACATGCTGTCTGAAATCTGATTGGTTCTCCTTAAAAGTGAGCCCACAATCCTCGCACACGTACATTTTTTCCCGCCTCTCGCGGAAGCCAAACCTGTGTACGATGCCATGCACGCGTGTCAAGTGCGCTTCCAATGAACAGCGTTGAGTGAAAGCCTTTTCGCACTTACTGCACTTGAACGGCTTTATACCAGTATGTGTGCGAATGTGACGCTTAAGATCAAACGTATCGTTAAACCCCTTACCACAGAATTGACAGTGGTAACGTTTGTAGAAAGAATGAGTCTTCATGTGTCTGTTTAGAAGTCTTTGTAGCGAGAACGACGCACCGCATAGTCCGCATTTGTAGCGACTGGCCGCAAGGCCTTCTGGGTGTTCTTTGCCTTCTTTGTAAATCTGAGCGTCTGATATAAACCCTCCTCTGATTGGCTGATGCTTGGTATCAAATGTATGTGCAAGATATGGGTCCCATGTAGAAGGACATAGGGTCCTTTCAAAACCACTATCATGGTTGTACCAAGGATAGCTCTTAATAGGGTCTTTGATCGAACCATTTGTAAACATAAGATAGCGAACATAGTCCGATTCATTGACACCGCGAGGCACGGTGGGCAATGACGTCATGGAACGAAATTCCGGAAGGTGAGTAGGTGGATACATTGGGGAATTTAAAGGATGTACCCCTTGAAAATAAGGGCTTGTGACCGGATTCGCGCTCCCAAAAAACGGGTCGATGTTTCTATTCAAAGCTGGGTGCGGGTGCGCACCTGTTGGATTCACCAGTTCATCTTCAAAGATACTCCGTTTTTCGCAGGGCGTTCCTACATGAGTTTGCTTGCTAAAACTCGCAGAAGGAAAAGTATTAGTAGAATCATTCTGAAAGGTCATTTCGTTTTGTCTACGGTTCTCGTTATCATGAGTGACATTCATTCTAGTGTGAGCGAGGTTATCATTTGTTTTTTCTTCCATTTCATAGTCACCACGACACATTAATGGCGTCGGTTCTTCTCTCAGAGCTCGGGAATTGTAAACAAACCTCTCATTGTTTCTTCCATTACAAACGTCATTTGCCTTGGAAGATACAATATTAGGCATTCTTCCTTCCTCGCGAGGTTTTTCTTCGCATCTAATTTGACTCTCTTTTCTATCGTTCTTTTTTTCTAATGGATCAACGGTATCGTATCCTAAACTTTGACCCGATCTTTCCGCTCGTCCAGAAATAATAGAGCTTCTTGAGAACTCCTTTTCGATCGCTTTGATATTGTATGGCGGTGATTGTCCCTCATTTTCAGTACTTTCTGTTTTCGACTTATTGGTATTATTCAACATTTCCTGTCCTTTTGTCTCTTCTGCGCTACAATGAGTAGGTATCTTTGTCTGCAAATAGTCTTCAAGTAGTTCTTCATTGATTTCATGTTGAAATCCTTTCTCGCATCCTAATCTCATATTATCATTTTTCTCCGATCCATTCATTTCTTTCTCCTCAACCACTTCATGTTCACTCACAACATTGATCAATAACCTATCTTTTAGGCGTCGAAAAAACGCCTGCATGTCTGTCTTACTGGCTGGGAGAATTTCTTCATCTTGGTGAAATTCCTGTGAACACTTCTCTTTAAGTTCTTCATCCTCATTCCGAGTGTTAGAAGTCACTTCTTTTTCACCTGCAACACAACCTGAAACTGAACAAAGTGAAGATACAGCGTTAGCTAACGAACAGACGTACTATTAAGAAGCTAGACTGATAACAGTTCCTCTTTTCCTTTTTAAATCAGTCGAGTCGAGATTTTCCCCTAACTTGGTCGCGCGGGAGGTGGGAGCGAGTGAAGCAGCTTCAAATTTGCCCCACTCCCCGCGCGACCAAAACATGAAGAGAAAAACGACTCGAATGAGTTGGAAGGGAAAAGACGGAATTGTTAATAGCAGGCAACAATCGATGACTACGCATGGACGGACTCATTGCGCACATTCACAGATGTTCCTAAGTCTTTAACGCGCGTGGACTGGGGAGAGATTTTCGCAATCGCAATCGATTTGTAGATGTATACCGTCATTATTGGTGTGTGCATAGGGTACGTTAACAGAGGGACCCCGATGTATATCTTATCGTTTGGTTGTCTGTTGCCCTCCACATATTTCTTTTATACCGTACATGTGCTTATATACTAGCATACGGTAATAGAGACAGGAGAAAAGTAACACGCACAACGGAGTCGCGGAAACTAAAAAGATAACAAGTTGTGCGCACACCTGACAGAGACATACACATTATCACAGACACATGTTAGCCTGAATATAAGGCTCTATTGGGAAGAGCCTCCTCTCCATTTCTTCTCCCCCCTCCCTCAGGGCCTGATACTCAGGTTAGACACATGCGCACGAGAAGCGCGCAAGGTAACATAAGTAAGTACCTGGTATAATAGAATATATGTGTACCAGTAACAGATATTATACAATAGATGTTATTACGATTGAGCCCGCAATGAGATATTCTTTGTTTAAGAATCATACAAGTGAGGCTATTGGGTCTATACGATACTTGCTGTCTCATTTGCATTTCATTTGGATGCATCCGTAATAACTGCTATTGGTAGTAAACATTTCAGGTTAAGAAAGACGTACGCACGGCAATAGAGATAAGCGCACAGTGGCATAACGGATATCTATATGTATACATATGTACGGTGATTCAATTATAAACATGGAACAGAATATGTACGCACATTAACTAACAAAGACACACCCGCACATATCAGTACAGCCATGCGATATATAACAGAGATATGCACGCATGGTAAGCATGAAGGATGTGTCAAAAACGCCCTCGAATTAAGATAGACATTCACTTTTTTCTAAGTGAATGTGCAGAATACACGCGCAAAATAAAACGTAAATAAGTCGAAAAATAAACATGATAAGAAACTTGAAAACATGTCGTTTTGTGAATTCTCAAAGTCCCCAAAAAGCACACAATTTCAGACGTGCTCTTAGATTTTCTTGCGCAAAATAAAACTTTTTAAAAAAATCATACGATAAGGATTCGGAAATCATGATTCATTATGAATTCTTCAAGTGTCCCAAAAGCGCGCAATTATTTTGGACATCTTGGAACCACATAAAATAAGATAACAATAGTAAATATATATCCTACAATCACAGATTCCCCTGACTCATTAACCATATCTAAATGTCCCCAATTCCACTCAAAGAGGATCGCAGTATTCCTTAAAATAGAAAACCACTTTTTCATCACTTCTGATAATCCAATCTCGTGGTCATTAATTTTTTTTACCGTTCTCCGTTTTACTTTCATTTTTTAATTTTACATGCGCGGTAGCCCTAATTGTTGAGCGATGTCCAGTTCATCCTGTCAAGTTGTAGTACAATGTTATTATGCAGTCTATAATTGCTCTGATTGGACATGGAAGTGAAGCAATCGAACTAAAGTCCCTCGAAACGTCAAAGATAGCTCGTGAATCAAACACAATTAAGCGAGTCTATATATTTTATTAAGCTAAGTGAATATGGCAAACGCACTCTTGTTTCACTCAAAAATGCTCCCAGCAACATTTTGTTTAGCCACTGAAAGCGCGCGAGTGTGATTGTAGTTGTTGATGATATGAGAATATTTATAGCAATTAAATCAAATGCCTTTGCACAGAGCAAGATCATTAAAAGCATTGGATGAAAAATATTTCCTTAGAAATAGTATTTAGATGGCAAAGATTTCCTGCCATTACAAAACTTTTCTAAAAGATAATTGAAGATAAAGAATTAAAGTTAAATGTTATCGCGAAATCATTCCATATAACATCGAAGTTGATACACGAAAAAATTTTTATATTTTTGTTATTTATTCTTTTTCCATTATAATTTTCCCTAAAATCAACCGGCTGATTCAAGCAAAGTACTTTAATGGTTGAGACGAACGAAAGTTTATTTTTCATTACGAAAAAGCGCACTTTGTTTGCAATACCATTCTGTTGTTGATAAAGGTTTTAAAGTGGAGAAAATATTTTAAAAGGAATTCGAAAAATCGAACATTTTATTTCTAATTTGCCAGTGAAGCTTGAATTCATTTTTTCCGTGAAAAGGGGAAATTATTTATAAACTATTTCTAAAGCTAAAAGAATTTAAAATGTATTTCAAAACAACAGAATAAAAACGTCCGTTTTTCTGTTCTCATTAACTTTATTTTTAATCGTCCGTAATTTGCATAAAGTAATATCACTATTATAGACTATTTTCATGGATTGGAGTCCAATACTCGCTCCGAAAGTTCATATTCGTTAAACTTTATTTGTTTACGAAAAAATAAACGGCTAAGTGGTGATAGGTCGTGGACGGGCTTCCCCTCAAGGCGGAGAAGAGTGGCGGATGTTCTGAGAAATTTGACAGGTTGATTTTGCGACAAAATGGGTTTCGATGTAAAAGGCGGTTGAAACTGAAAGGTTTTTCAGAGTTATTGGATAGTTTTATTCCTATAATCAGTCCAAGAATTTAGCAAACATGTTTTGTTTCTTTGAAAATTTCAACGCCTTTTTCATTTTTCTTGCTTAATGGTGACCTAAACTGTGGAGAAAGTAAATTAGTTCTACGATAGAAAGCGTCACAAATCCTATCGCTCGTAAAAACGTGTCTGATAGTTAGCATCGGCGGCCAATTATTGCAATTTTACTTCTTCATAGACCAACTATTTCCAAAGTTAAAGAGGTTTTTAATGATTATTGGTATTTATTGATTGGAATATCGAGGTATTGAGGTTTATAGCCTCCATTTGCAAGCCATCTCAGCCCATGAGCTCAAGCTGTGTAAGCAAAATCCGCAAACGCTAAGGTCATTTTTAGAGTGTCCCCTAGCGAAAAAGGCAATTACTGCGCGACCGAGCTAGCTGTAGTTCAAAAATCGCATCACTAATGGAGCAAATAAAGTCTATCTCCATCACTTTCGCGTTAATCGTTTTCGACGTGTATGGACAAATGACTCATCGAAATTCAAACAGCTTAGTCTAAAACGGTTTTACAGTTGGCAGTTACCTTTGAAAGCCTCTGGTCATCACAAAGCAACAACGTACGCATGACACTTAAAACCCAACACATTTTGGACTGGCTGTTCCAACAAACCGGTCCTACTTTGACGCGCTAACAATTAAAGTACTCCTTGCACTCGTGCGCTAAGATGAACAAATGGACATCTTTCATTCGCATCGACAGCCGAAGTAGCAGCTTCGTCAACAACCTGTTTTGTCGTCCCTTTTGAACAATGTTTATAGTACAGTGGTCGTTGAAATGTTGGTTTTCCACGCCCTGTACTTTACAAACTATATCGCGCTGTTTTTGTCTTTCAGCTGCAGATGAACTGTACTTTTTTGAGTCCATATTCATTAGCGCGCAAATATTTTCTTGTCTATAAGTAATTTCTTCATTCTATGCTCAAACAAACTATATACACCGGCTTTCAAAAGACTCTTTAAAATTACTTTTTCTACAGGTTTGTCTGCCTGTGTTTATCTTAGAATTGTACAACTAATATTCGTTAGCGAAGTACTGAGCACAAATCAAACTGCTAGAGATTTTGTACAAAATTTTCATTCGAACGAAAGACTAGATTTCGCGTGAAAAAAAAAAATCAATATTCATAGACAAATCTAGATGATGCGTGGCCACTTTGAAAAATATACAAGCGTACATTATTGTAAGCTATTGTACAAAAAATATGGTTTCATTGAGCGTCATTAAGTCTTCAAGATTTAAAGAAAAAAATTCAAATTCAAAATTCAAGTTCAAAAAATCAAAAAACATTGGCATTCAGAATTTAGGGAGATTTTCTTTTCTTTTCAAACTTGCTGTTTCAATGAAGATTGCGATAATTTTTAATTTGCTATTTATCTAGAAAAAATTTACAAAATCTTCAATTTTAATGTACGGAAATCTCGAAATCAATATCAGTTTTTGAAGGCATTTGTTGGAATGAAATAATTCCCGTGCTTTTACCCATTAACTATCGTAGAAATATTTGATGGAAGAATTTTCGTAAATTTTTAAATGTTGATCGATCGATAAACCTTCTCTCGTCAAGAAACTTATATGTCACTCCTACTTTTTCTCCAAGATTCAGCACAGATGATAATTTTTTTCTAACTGTCAGTTCTTTCGTTGTTAAAAGAAGAAAAAAAGCACAAATCCCCGCTAGAATATCCTTAAGTATTAAGAGTTTGCAGAGTATATGATATCAGCATCGGTGGAGAGATCACACTGGCCTAAACAAGCACAGACGTTCACTAGCTATTACAGGATTAGTTTTTATCGTTTTCAAGCGATAGTTTCGGTTCTTAACTGGGGGCAATTTAGATATAAACACTATACGCCAACGATAAGCTCACTTAAAGTAGGATTTACTGTGGAGAATATTTTGATGTCTAAAACAAAGAATAACGTCAGAGGATTGTATTCCAATAATATGATCACATTTACTGAATCAATTTACGGTAATTCTCGAGATAGTTTGAAAACGCCTGACAACAGGAGATGAAACACCTAAGAGGAAAACATCGAGAGAAAAAGCGGTATTAAATGGCTTTAAGGAGGATAAAGATTATAAAAAAAGACATTTGTTTTTAAAACGGCAAAAGTTCCGTTGTTCTTGATTTAAGGTATCATTTCTCTAATACAAATCACTGTTG